CAAGCAGTGATTTAAATAATATAGTTTTGTGTGATTATTTCAGGTCTGAGCAACTGGGAACCAACAAGCAGCCTCCTTCAACAACTGCCTGGCCTCTATGGTGAACGAGTAGCTTAGATCTGCATTCTGATCTTCAGGCAAACTTTGTTTGTTAGATCACAAACAAAATATCACTACATTTCCCCTGTTGCTTAAAATGAAAAGATTAAACCTATAGAAGCAAAACTGCACAAAATAACTATATACAATTTATAAAGACAATAAATATATCAATAGTGTCTAGTCCATTTGCATTTGACAAACTGAAAGAAAATAATCCATTATATATCCTATCTTAGTGACTCCAAAGTCTTATACCTAATTAACTTTATATCCTAACTTGAATTACTATTCAATTGATATCTCTCAACCTTATATACTTCACGTTTTTTAGTGGGTTTCTTTCCTGTATCTGTGAAACAAGAAAAATTCCAACTATCACTACTAGTCTTCAACTCCCTCACAGACCTGAGAGAGAAATAATATTAAATAAACAAGCAGAAAGTACAAGCAAATGAGCTCCAAATGCTGTGAGAAATGACAGCAACGACTGATTTCCTTGCAAGCAATCCATGGTTCCTCTGCAATGTTGGGGCATCTGTCTTCTGCCTAAACACCTAGAATATTCTATAGGCTTTTCTATAAATCAGGATTTGTGAAGGAGTTTCCTGCATTGCCTTGGCAAGGTTTGACAGTCACCATCTTTTGTGCCCTGCTTGTGTCCATTTTGTTCAACATAATGTCAGTAGTGTAGGCAAGGGCATTTTATTGTCCAGTGGGTTAATTTGTCATAAAAAAGTAAGGTCCATGTGGAATTTCTTCAGTGTTCATCATTGTCTCTGAAGTATATTGTTCCTGCCAGGAGAAGACATGCATCATTGTCATAAAAAAGAACCTGTGTTATTAAAACTCCTTAAATGCCATAATAAGTCGATATCTGAAGGGTTTGAAATGACATGCCTGTCTAAAATATATCTTTCTTTAATTTTGAAAAATAAATGTGACTACAAGTTTGATTGTAGTTGGTGACTAATTACTAACCTGCATTTCATTAATATTATTATGATGGTAATAATAACTTTCAAGTTCTGGAGTTTTACATTTCATTGTTAAAAAAGCTAGATAGGTACAATACCTTTAACAAGAGTAGAAATGTGTGGACAATATGTTCTAACAAAATTAATATCAAATTTAAATCAATATACAAAATTGTTTACAATATACAAAAGTCAATCCAGTGCAAAAATATTTAAAAATAGCAGTTGCTTTTTAAAAATAGACTCAATATCCACCTTTTTATATTATCATATCTATACCCTCCCCCTTTTCTTTTCAGAGTAGATCTAATAACCTACCCATTTATTCTATCTTATCTGCTTTCTCATTTTTTCTTTTCAAAACAAGAACCGTGAATATAATCTCCTTTGTTTAGCATTTATACTGAACATTACCAAAAACAACTAGTAACCAGTTCCCCTAAACAATGACATATACCCACAATCCATTGAACAAACAAAAACCACCCACCCCACAACTTGGTAATGTGGGCATCATGTTCTAAAGTTTACTTCCTGATATCTAGGAGTGATAGTGTCTTTAGGGGATCCTGAAAAGAAAAAAAAAGTGGTATAATTGTTAAGTCCTGGAAAAGATAACTGTATCATTCACTGTCTCTGCATAATGGGAAATTTCAGAACTTGTCTCATGTCCTGGCTAGAATAGTCTGTGAGGCTGGATCATCTTAGCTATTCACCTCAAAATTGTTCTGAGACGTTTCTGATTCAAAGATGATCTTTAGGTTGTGTTTTGCAGCTCAGTAATGTTATCACAGTCCTCATAGAATAGTCATTGTGGGGCCCAATCTTCCTTTAGAAGACTTCAGTATTCACTGTGAGATGTGGTCATGGTTCACTGCAGAAACTGATAGAAATTCTAACCCGAGATCATACACAAGAAGGCAGATGAATTTTTTTTCTAGAATTGGTTAGTACTCCATATAACCATTAATATCATGACATATATAATATACATATATGTGTGTATTAATTTTGTAAATTTTGAGATAATATTTATACCTTAGGAAAAGCTGTTAAAGAGTCAAAATAAAACCAAGGGTTATGACATTAGTGGCAATAAAGTGTCCCTAAATTTTGACTTTTCTTCTGTCCCATATCAGGTGGCTCTTTTCACGTGAGACAGAGATTTTGGAATTTACTTTAACAAGCATGCTTGGTTTTAGAGAAGGATAGAGCCACACTCCATGCCCAAAGCTAGTTTTAATTTTTAATGACGGAGAGCACAAAGAGACCACTTGCATTACATGTCTGTAGAAAATAGCAGCAACAGATATTTAGGAAAAGTTATGAAGTTTTATCCTGTTACAGACGTGATATACAAGTATATCAATTTATTCTTTTTCTTGAGATATTATCTTTAGATGATTCATCCTTTTTCTTCAGATGTCATATTGGTTTAGTGGTCATTAGATCCCTTAGATTTTTACCTTTTATTTTCCTGAAAAGACAAAAACAAAACCTTCCCCAAACCCTAATTTTGGGGAGGTTCCCTTTGGGCAAGTTATTTCTGATAAATGAAAAGCATTTGTTAGGTTTAAATATCCTTTTAGATCAAATGGCCATGCTGCTGATGAAGAATTACTTCTTCTAATTAAGAAGTCTCTCTTATTCAAATTGAATCTTAATCAAATTTAATGGTATCCATAGATTTCTTCTCCTGTCGAAACAAATGTGAAAGCCATTCCACAATGTAACACATATCCTGATTTCCACTCTGAGTTCAATACATGTTGAAATTTAATTCTGCAGAATTTTCTATTATCTACTGTCTCACCTCAGCGGTTGTTCTTTCTCAATAGCATTTAGAGAACTCAAAGTTAATAAAGTATTTTGCATTCATTTCTAGGAGTCTTTATTACCTATTTCTGTTTATTTATAATGTATTTTAGAATTAAATTTGAGCTTTCTATAACTACTTGCCCTGTAGGATTGAGTGGCATACCTGCACTATGCTTTACATTATCATAAACAAAAAAACTGCTTCATTTTCTTAGAGACGTATACTGGAGCACTGTCAGTCTTAATTTGTATACCCATAATAGCCATAACTTCTACCAAATGTGTGATGAACAAATTAGGCTTTTATGAATTCAAAGTAGTTTTCCTTTGAGTTTCTGACTAGGTATCAAGGTAGTAGTATGCATATTTTAATTTTCCAAATTCTACAAAATGGAACATTTCCATCTGCCAGGTATCATTTCTTTAGTAACATTTGTGTTACTTCCTGCAGGTAGTGGAGTTTAGTTGTATAAAGTACAAGTAGAACATATCCTTAAAATTTCCTTTGTTTGTTGCTAAGTGATGGAAAAATCTGTTCTTAAACCATTGGTATTGACAAGATTTTTTATTAAATTCTGAGACCAGCATGTTTTCTATCTACCTTGTGCTAGATAGCCTGACAGTCCTGTTTGGGATCAGACATGTGTTAATATATACAGAATAATTCATATTTATGATGGTTTTGGTTAACGGAGTAAATAATAAAGTCATGTAAAAACATCCAACAATTATTTTCATGGGACATTGCAGAATTCTATAGGTGTATTTTCCTTAATTCCCTTAGCCGTGTTTTTCATTACTGAAACTGCTGGTCTCATGTGCCTGTCCCTGACCCTTTTGATTTTCGCAGGGACTTAGACCCACTAATTTCCAAATACATTGTCTACTTATAGAAAATCAAGATATACCTATAAGGTCTCCCACAAAGATAGTAGGGCAGGTTAAATAGCTTCTGACATCCCCAGATATGGTTGATCGACTCAAGGTTGCCAAGCAACACTGACAAACATTGGTATGATTATGCACAAGAGAAACTTCCTTTATTGCTAATGATCCTGGAGTTTAAGGGAGTTCATTGTGCATATACATGCCTTCTTCTGGCCATCTCTCCAGGAAAACAAATCTGTGTTCCAGTAAATATTCATGTCAGCCTAACTAGAGACAGTGCTCCTTTTCAACTTCCATCTCCCACGCTCTGCTCCAGTCCTTACTCCCTTGTACCACCTTTCTCCCTTCTCCTTTTCTACTCCCCTATACTACCTTCTTCTTTCACTCCTTTACTCACATAACCTTAAACTCTGTTTTTCACTTCCATGTTTAAATACCCCATTTTGAATACCATTCTTCTCTCCAAGGAATTGCTAGATTTTGAAGCAGCATTCCCTTCCCCATAAATTGTCTCTCCCCCACTCCTGCCCTGTGCTCCCAGCTCCTAAATTAGTTCATCTCTTCAAATGCACTCCTGCCAACTACAACTTAGTGCTTGACCTTTCTACCTTACTTCCTTCTCTCTGCATTCCCTTTCCCACAAGAGTCCAGATTACATATATCTCCTCTTCCTGTTGACCTTCACCCACACAATACAGTCTTGCCATTCACTTTTTCACCACACACACATACATAGTAAAAAGCAAGAAGAATGTCGTGATGCACATTTTAATCCTAGTGCTCAGGAGGCTGATACAGGAAGATTTTGAATTAGAGGCCTGCTTTGGTTAAACTTAGACCCAAACAAAAAAAATAGTACAAGAAACACTGGGAGGCAAAAATGAATTTTTCAAGTGTGAAAACAATATATATTTTGTTACTTTCATTTCCTCTACTGTTTTCTAAATATCCTAAAATATGGGTTTCATAATAGCCAGTAAATGTGTAAACAATAAGTAACTAAATGGAATGTATAAATGATACATACCCAATAAGTATGCAACATTTCACAGTTAATTAACAAAAACATAAGTGATGATTTCATTACCAACTTGAAATAAATTATTCAAGTTTATCAAGTTGTTGGAGTAGGAATAATAAATCACATCAAAGCAGAAAAGGTCATTTATCATTTGTGTTTATAATTGAGTATACAGGTGGTACATTCTTCTGGGAAATTTAGCAGATACCTTTCATACTCAGGAGCTGTTTACTCAGTCTCCTCATTGCCAAGTTCATGTCTTTGTTCCTCAGTGTGTAAATGGCAGGGTTCAAGATAGGCGTAATCATGAAGTCCAGAATAGCAAGAAACTTATCGACTGGTACAGTAGGTAATGGCCACATATACACAAAGATGCATGGTCCAAAGAACAAAATGACCACAGAGATGTGAGCAGAAAGTGTAGAGAGGGCCTTGGACAAACTGCCCAAGGACTGTTTCCATACAATGAACAGTATGAATATATAAGAGACAATCAGTAAGAAAAAGGTAGTGACTGATATTAGTCCACTGTCAATAGTAACCAAGAACTCCATCCTGTAGATGTCTATGCAAGCCAGTTTGATGAACCTAGGAAGGTCACAATAAAAACTATCTATCTCATTAGAACTGCAAAGAGGCAAATGGACAACAAAACCTATTTGAGATACTGAATGAATGAGACCAATAATCCAGGTACCAATCAGAAGCAAAATGCACTTCTGCGGGCTCATGATGGTCAGGTAGTGGAGGGGCTTGCATATGGCCACATATCTGTCCCAGGCCATGGCTACCAGCAGCACCATCTCACAACCCCCCATGACATGAAGGACAAACATCTGGAAAATACAACCCTGGAATGAAATGGTATTGTGATTGGAGTATAGATCAGAAATCAATTTAGGAACAACTGAAGTAGAGAAACATAAGTCAACAAATGAAAGATTAGCTAAAAGGAAGTACATAGGTGAATGCAAATGGGTATCAAAGATAACTGTAAGCACAACTAAGAAATTTCCTAGAAAAATTGTTGCAAATGATATTGTAGAAAAGGCAAAAAGGAAAATCTGTGTTGGTCTGTAGATTGATAATCCCAGGAATATAAACTCAGCTACTTCAGAATAATTTGCTTGATTCATTGTATCTTTCTTGAGTTATCTACAATACCCAAGACAAAACAGGCAAAGCAGTTACTAGAATAATAATCTAGCAGTAAAATGTATTATTTGTGAATTTATTGCAATAAAGTGACTGTATATTAGAAAGTACCCTTTAAAATAAATAACTATTGGAAAAACACACTTAAATTATTCCAAAATACATATTAATAAAAATAATTCCTCCTAGTTATCCATATTTTGAAGAACTAATATCTCTATTCTACTTATATCCATTATGAATATATACTGTTTTCCAAATACTATGTTATGCCCTCTGGTAAAACAATAGTTCTGTTCTTGGAGCATTGTAAGCAGGTTGAATATCTGCTTTAAATGCAAAACAAAAACAAAAAAATTATATACAAAGAACACATTAATGACTAAGATGAAGAGAAAACACAGGGGATGTGTTGATTTATATCAGTGGATATGTGCTGGTTTATATCAGCTGCCTATAATCTGCCAAACACTAGCCATTACCTCTGAAGATGATTTAGAGTGTCCAAGGTTTATGTCCTCTGCAATAACCTTGAGACAATGGAAGTGTATCAAGAGTAAAGTAAACACTTGTATTAAGAATTTGCTGCTTTATCCTTTCAAGAATCTCATACTCATCATGTAAAAGGTAAAGCTACTTTTGCACTATCTGAGGAAGCATAAGCAGAAGGGCAAAGGTAACTGATTTCCATCGTGTCATCAAATTCTGTACAGTCTGATTAAATTCTGTGAATAATACCTCAAGAAAAAAAAAGAGTTTCATACAATGAAAATTGGAATTTTTTTTTTTTGGTTTTTTGAGGCAGGGTTTCTCTGTAGCTTTGGAGCCTGTCCTGGAACTATCTCTTGTAGATCAGGCTGGCCTAAAACTCAAAGAGACCCACATACCTCTGGCTCATGAGTGCTGTGACTAAAGATGTGTCTCACCACAGCCTGGCCTTCATATAATTTCTTTAACAGATACCTTCAAAAGAATATCAAAACTACAACTACAGGAAAATGAAAATAAGTATTATATAAAAAGATAAATAATATATTTTAATAAAAATTATTATGAGTCAAATTATATAAGAAGCTTATATTAAAGAGTTACGTTTCTATGAAAAAAGTGGATAATTCTTTCAAACTTAATTTCTTATCTCTGTTCACCTGTAGATGCAGTTAGTAGTTTAAATGGTATAAACTGACATTTCTGCAGTTCAAAAAAGAACTTATATAAACTTTATATAACTTAATATATCAATTTACCTTTTCTATCTTAGCTTGCTAAATACAAATTTTTTAGGCAACCAAATCAAATAGCTCACACATTACTGACCACCATGGTCTCCACACTTGTAATTCCATTTCTAAGCTTCCCTCTAGACTTGGCATTGAAAGTGATTCATTATCTTGTCATTTCCTCTCCTATGTGGCCTGGATCCACTTGAAAAGAATTCTTATATGGCATAGTCACACAGTAGAATATATTGTTGCAAACACCAGATGCACGTTGGAGCCAGAAATCAAGTTCTGTGTAGCAAAACCAGACATGAGAGTCATTATGAGTGCTAGAATGTAGGAGTAGATATCAAAGCCAAACAAAACAGTGCAGGTTTAAAAAGAAAATAGCTACTTAGTGATGATTATACAGATAGTACCTAGGGAACATTAGAGTAGAATTCAGTGATTAGTTTGTTATTGAACCAGAAGAGGAAAATAGTATTTTTACACAAAGTTATGACATACATCCGAAAGGATATACAGGCTAAACCTGATTTGAACAATCTACAACATACACTTATATATACTTTTCTCAAAACTTTCATGGGAAATACATTTTTATGTATTAGTTACATATTCATAATTTAAATTCATAAACAGCTAAGCAAGGGAAGAAGGCACAATGATAGATGTAAGTCACAATACATTTTTTCCCATCAAAGAATCTTTAAATTGCCCTAGAAGTTGTGGTCATTCATTGTGAGGAACCTAAAGCATGTACAGCAGAAGGACAAAGTTGCACATTTTGTATTTCCAAAGAAAAGCATCATGATCAAAAGTCAGGGCTGAGATGGTTTTGTTGGTAAAGTGCTTGCTGTGCATGGAAGAGATTTTTAATTTCATCCCAGGAATCCATGTTAAAAATCCAAGCAAAGCAATGTGAGTTTTTAATTCTATTATACAGACAGGCAGATCCAGAAATTTCACTGACTGAACTAACCAAACCAGACTTTTGAACTCAGTCCAGTGAGAGACTCTGTCTTTCTCATACATGCTCAAAGAAACCAAGAGAGGAGGTATTTGAAGAAGAGCAATGATTATTGTTCTCTTGCATCCACACACATGTGTACCAATACATGAACAAACATACCTACTAAATTCACAAACACTAATAGAAAGCAATTTGATTAGGTTAATTTATTTATTTTTGTTTCTAAATGACTGCACAACTGATTAGTTTATACTGTCTTTCTTTTTATGTTAAACTGTTCTTACTATTTGATTATGGCTTGGGAAACTATTATTTATATTGATATTATAATGTTTGATAGAAGGATCAAAATATTCATGCTGCAAAGAGTAGATCTCATTTTAAGGATAAGAAAGGTCTGTGCAGATAACTCATGAAACAGGAACACAATGGGCAATAGGGTTATTAACAATCAACCTCATCAGTCATTAGTAGTTTGTTATTGTTTAGTTTAACAAGCAGTGTAATCAAGAAAGAGATCAGCAAAGGGTGATAAGGCATAGATAAGAGAAAGAATTTTCAGTATTATCAATGCTCCAGAACAAAAATTTTTCTTCCACTCTTGAATTATAAATTAAGAACATTTATTAAAATGAGATACCAAGTTGATTTCTAGAAAACGAATGCCAGTGATAGTTTTCTGCATAAGTAAGCAACACTTATTCTGCTGCCTATATTATATTTAGCATGAATTCAACATTAGAGTAGTCCAAACCTATTAGCTATATAACTGCATATGTGCAATGAAATAGTTTTAGATTAAAACTTATTAGATTAAAAGTTATTAGATTAAGTTATTTTATGCATGTAAGCCTGAAAATATTTTCAATTTGAAGATTGGAGAGTATAAAGTAAAATTAATAATAAGAAAAGTTTTATTTGAGAAAGAAATAATGTCCAAGAATGCACATTAAGTATCACTATTGAAGAATCTGGACATGTAAGCTCCCATGTGACTTTTATCTCCTAAGTATATATTTATGTGTTTTTTAGATGGCTAAAACAACCTTATATGTTGTCAAGTTAAAAGTTAATAGTTTATAAAAGAAGAGGATCAAAATGAACATACCTACAAATTTAATAGTTTAATATCATAAACCATTAAAACACACTATAGAAATTATAACAAAGAATACCAACATGAAAACAGTGGTTTTCTCATGAAATATCACAATTCACTTAATAAAAAGCTTTCTCAGCAAGAGTTTTATCACTAATATTAAACTCATTTGTGAAAAATCTATTGTTAGTTTTCTCTAAAACATTCCTATCCTTTAGTCAGCTGATACTAATAAGTATGTAGATGAAAAGCAAAAGAATAGAGAAGAGGAGACATGAATATGGAGCAGAAAGAAACAGGAGAAAATTGAAACAAGCAATTTTTGTTTCAAGAAAATTGAACAAGCATAAACACTGAAGGGGAAGCAGATAAAAAGCACACTGGTGAATGAACTTTTCTTCATGGTTCCATGCTCTACTCACTGCTTAAAATTTCATGGGTTCTGAATGCAGACATCTTCTTTATAGCAGAAAAGTTCTTGTAATCCTTCAGTCTATCTCGGCATCTCTGTTCTATCCTTCTCAAACATATTTTGTTGTTTTATGACTATTCATGCTTCCTTACTTTACTTAGAAGAACACTTTATTTTTTTATTTAGCTCATTACTTCTTAAGTCACTTCAACTAACTTTCTGCTTAGTTATGGATTAGATAGGTTTCCTCTATACTTTAATAAAATATTTGTAAACATATTGTATTTCCTATTCCATAGAATAATTTGCAATGACTATTCTCTTGGAGCTATACTAAGTCCATGAAGTTCCAAAAATCAGGGAGTGAATCTTATTAAGAAATCCTTGTCCATGGTAAATTAAGTGAGTCTGAGATAGACAATTATCTAAAATATAAGGATAGTTGATAAAGTATCTTATTGATGTTGAAGATTTTCCTACTCTCTTAAAGCTACAGAAAACTGAGTCCAGAAGACTTGTCAATTGCTCCTCTAGAAATTATCATATACCCATGGCTGATCTCAAGGAAGTCACTCTAAAGCAAGTTTCCAAGACCTTAGCTAGTCTTTATGGAATTACAATAGAGACAAGAAATCCTCAAGAAAAGCCAGAAAGAAACTTGATAGAGTAAGGAGTGAAAATTTTGACTTCTCTATGGAAGTCCAGTATAAGTGAAGGTTCAATGAATGTTCTTAAATAAAAATTTAAGCAAAGAATAAAGTGTTGTTATTCTGACCTGAGACATATGCATTATATACAGAAGAAAAATAATGCTAATTTTAGTAGGATATTGACTTAAATTACAGAATCTCTGCTTACCTTATTAATGAGAATAAAGGCAACAAAAATCCTTATTTCCAGTCATTTTGAGTCTCTTAAGAAACATCCTTGGCACTGGGTGGAGTCTTTGGTAATGTGAAGGCTGTTGGACTGAGTCCCTAGGAATTTTATCATGGGAATTCTGCTATCATAATCCTGTGGATTCAAAGGGTAAATGCTGAAAATTTTGTTAAGAAATTGAGTGAAAAACAAAGAAAATTCCATCTAGGAAAGCATAGCAACATAATAGCCAGGAAATTTATTTAATGGCTTTTCAATGTCTACTTACATATTGACTATCATTCACAAAATGGGATGAGTGTAAAAATAATTAGCGAATAATTATATAAAATTACTTTGTATTTTTATTCACATAATTGCCTTTGCATGTGATTATCCAGTTCACACAGCATCTTTAA